GGCTTTCTACTCCCCTAAAAAATGTACAGCCTTAGAAACCTTATACAGGGCTATTATGAGTCAGAACTAACTTGACAGTACACACCTCCAGCACCACCAGCATGGACTATGTGGCTAACTGCCTCCATGAAAGATGCCTCCTTTCTCACAAGGCCAGAGGGTGCCCTGCTACCACAACTGAGCTTTTTGATGAAAGATTCTCTAGAATAATCCTGGTCCAAAGGAAGCTGAAACAGAACAGAATACCAAGTTCTTATTGAATTCAGACTTCTGGGGCCATGGCAAGTGGATGAACTGAAATGATTGTTCTCAGATGTTTAAATCTGAAACCTAAAAGATCCCCTTGGTGGTGGTGGTTATTCTGTGCGTGGAGTTAGTTCTGACTCATAGCAACCCTGCATGGGTTTCTGAGGCAGTAAATCTTCACAGGAGCAGAAAGCTTCATCTTTCTCCCATGGAACCACTGGTAGTTTTGAACTGCTGACCATGAGACTAGCAGCCTGACTCGTAACCACTACGCTACAAGAACTCCTGAAATATCCCCTTAAAGGAACTTTAAAACTGAGCAACAGAGTTTAATTTAACTTGAGCCTTAGGGGTAGTGAGTTCATATCAATGAAGTAGGCACAATTCAGAAAAGGAGGGTGAGAATGGTCACACAAACTAGAGGAATACAACAGTGTCACTGAATTGCACATGTAGAAACAAGAAACAATTGAACTGGTGACTGGTACATGGTTTGCTGTGTTTAGCTTCAACAGTGGCAACAAATTAAATAATAATTTTCATGGGGAGGAGGAGATGGCACCTTGAAGGTTCTACAAAGTAACAAGTCTAGGACAAAAATGAAGATGAACATTTTTTGGCCACCGAAAAATACACCAGATAAGCTTGTACCAGCCTTAAGTAACAACTTTGGTACAAAAAAATTCTGCTTTATCTATTTAAACAACCTCATGACAATCACAATCCAGCTAAAGAATTGTTCTTTTCTCTAGCTTGTTTTCCAGCTCAGGAAGTTTCTTTTAAGTGACCTTCGGCAAGTCACTCTTTAGTTTCTTTGTTCTAACTTTCCTTTATAAAATAGAACCAAAGTAACAACCTCAAAGAGTGAAGAGTAAATCATATAATGCAAGCAAAACTCAAAGGGAGAGGCCAAGCACATAGTAACTGCTCAATAAATGTTAGCGGTTATTGCTAGTTCCAAACTTAAGACTAGGAAGAAAGGCCTGGTGATCTTTTTTTAATAAATCAGCTAATCCTTGTGGATTTAGTTGTTTGATGATGCATGGAGGGGATTGTAATCATCATAATGAAACAAAATACGATAGGGTGAATGTAACGCTGATGTTCTCCCAAATAAACTATCACTCAATTCACAATAAAAATTAAAAAAAAAAAAAATCAGCCAATCAAAGTCCCATGGGTAACAATGGTCCAATTCCCAACAGATCCTAGAAATGGTTTGGGACCTAGCAGCATTCCTTTCTATTGTGTATACAAGTTGTTGGTGTTAGCAACTTAACAGCAACTGACACCAACATTATTAGTATTATCTTTGGGCCAAAGAAAGTAATGGGCTTGGCACACCATCACAACCAATAATGGGAACAGACAAATAATAGGGATTTTTCTTAATGAATACACAACTAACATTCTGGTAAATGTTGTACAGATGAATAGGGGGTTAGATAGTTGGATGGATGGATGGATGGATGGATGGATGGATGGATGGATGGATGGATGGGAGAGAACTCCTTAGTTTATATCAAAGTGGTGCTGTGAGGCCAGTTTTGGCAAAACACATTTAAAAACTCTATTTCTAATGATTTATCCTTCATAGGTCCTCAGACCAAAAAACAAAACAAAAAAACCACAAAATACAAGAAACTCAAAGATGTCAATATACAGTATTTATAACAACAATAAAACAAGCAGCAGCCTAAATACCCAACCACAGAAAATGATAGTCAGAAAATAGAAATCTATATGGAACAAGGAAACATGAAAAGCAGTTGCTACCTTACTGGCAAGCAAAGATGTTCTGAGTACATTCAAAATCTTAAAAAGCAAGAGGTAAAATACTATGTATAAATTCACCTTTAAAAAACTGTGTGTGTGTGTGCACGTGCACAAAAATATACTCTAGGTGTTTTCAGTGGTTAGTTATATCTGATGATAAAACTTTGAATGGTTCTAATATTTTTTTATTTTCTGTATACTCATTTTCTTCTAATGATCTCATATGTGATATTTATATAATATGCTAAGAGAAGAAAAAAATGTAATATTTGTATAATATATTGGTGGAGATGGTGTGCCATAGATTTGGTTCTGACTCCTAGAGACTCTGCATAGGGTTTCCGAAGCTGTATATCTTTACCAGAACAGAAAACCTCATCTTTCTCCCACGGGAACAGCTGGTAGTTTCAAACTGCTGACTTTGAGGTTAGCAGCCCAACTAGTAACCACTATGCTGCCAGAGCTCCTTGTATAACATCTTAGAAGAAACAAAACTAAAGTAGATCCAGGAATCATGGAGGAAGGAAGCATGGTCTCAGCTTCATTAGTCTTAGCTGTGTGACTAGGAACCTACCCTCTGTTGCCTCCTCTGGAGAAGGGTGATCACTATCCCCGCCCTGTTCAACTGAAGGCAGGAATGAAGAAAGACCATGTAATAGGAAGCCAGCCATCAGCTGGGTGTTAGTACTCCCTCTATCTCCCTGTCTAAGGCAAGGAGACAGGAGATGCTTAGAGAGTCTGAGACAACCCAGCCTACATCTGGGTCAGTCCGTTCTAGTGAACAGAGCACTGAACGGGGGCAGCAGGGCAAAGTTCTCACCCCGCTTCACTGCATTCAGTTCTCCAACAAACAAACAAAAAATTAAAACCATGCAAATTTTTACCACCAGTGATAACTAAGCACGGATCACATTTGGAATATGTTCTTTTCTAGATTTTTTTTATGTAGATACAAATGCTATAAGTTCTCCTTAAAAAACAACAATAAACCACTTATGGTATAAGTTCAAACCTAAAAATATAGATATATATGTATGTATATTTTTAAAAAAGAATCCTAGTGTGGTCTGTGGGATAAAGCATTGGATCACAAGTCCAGTTTAAACCACAAGATTGGTGGTTCAAACTCACCAGCTGCCCTTGTAAACCCTATACAGGTTCACTATGAGTTGGAACTGACCCGACAGCAATTAACAATTTTTAAAGATGAACTTATACTATTTTCCATCTTTAATATATGTGCATTAAATATTCATTTTATGTACTACATATACGGGGACTTCAAACAGCGGAAAAATTTCATTACCTTTTAATTCCATTTTTTCATGAACTTTTTGAAGCTCCCTCATAATTTCTTTTCTTAAAAAAAAAAAAGGTGAACTTATACTATGCCCGTTAAAATGGAAGGGATAAACTTCAAAGTGGTTTCTTAACTCTCCTTTGTTTTGTTTTTTAACTAAATGACTATGTCATTTAGAATCAGTGGTTCTCTTCCTAAAAATTAGGCATTCTTTACAAAACAAACAAACAAAAACAATCAACCAATCAGGAGTCTATTTCTCATTATTTTAAGTGGGAAAAATTATAAAGCATTGTACAAGTCAACTCCAAATCCTTCACCAATTTCCTAAAATGTAACAAAAACAGTAAAACTTGCTCTATATAAGACAGCAACAGACACCAAATAATTATTAGGGTTGTTAGCAAAGAACTGCTGTGTGTGGTAACCCAACCCACTGGGCTGGCTCTCAGCTCCAGCAACATTTGAGATGCACAGCCCCATGGTGACTCTCTGCTCCCCATTCAAAACGTCTACATGGGAGGCTGGCGGTAGTCCAATTGCATCTAGAATTAACCTGATACTTTTCCTGTACATTTTTTTGTTACAAAATGTTGTACTTAGTTTTAAGGTCATAAATGTGATGCTTAATCTAGAAAACACTGGCAAGAGAGGAATGTTCTAAGAAGCTTGGATTTTATGAGCTAAAAGTCTGAACACTGGGAGGACGTCAGTGGAGATTTTCTGTGGGGAAGGCTTGTTCTGTGGCATTTAGGGGTTACTCCAGAATTCCTCTTTGGAAGCTGAGGGGAGATGCTAAAGTTGGAACATGGGGTTTAAAGCTGCATCTGTGTTTCGCACATCAAGTTGTTATTGGAGGAAGGAGGCACTAAGGGCCGCCCACTCCTCATGATGCCACTGAAAAGAAGCTGCATGCAGCAGCTATAGTAGTAAAGCTGCTTCTACTATTCCCAATAAGCTGGTCCCCACCCACACCACGACCTAACGTATGCCAGGCTCTGCTGTAAGGACCTAATACGAATTAGTTCACTTTACCCTCATTAACAACTCCAGGAGCACTGGTGGCAATGCAGGGTAAGCACTGGACTGCTAACCACAGGGCCAGCAGTTCAAAACCACCAGCTGCTCCTTTACAGGAGAAAGCAGAGACTTTCTGTTCCCATAAAGGTTTGCAGCCACAGAAACCCAACATAGTGTTGCTGTGAGTTGGAACAGACTCGACGGCACCTAACAACAACTCTGTGAGTTAGTATTATTATGGAGCTGTGGGTTAATGCGCCAGACTGCAAAGCTGTTTGAACTGCAAGGTTGGTGGTTTAAGCTTCACCAGCTGCTTCTCAGAAACCCTATACAGGGTCACTATGGGTCGGAATCGACTCGACAGCACTTAACAACAACAAGACCTTAAGAATCAGGAAACTGAGGCACAGACAGAGAAGTTAGGAATTTGTCCAGGGTTATCCATGTGGGATTTGAGCCCAGGCACTAGAGAGTTAGAATGGCTGCTTTGAACTACTGTGGAAGGAGAAGCTCTGGGGGACAACAGGGAGGGCAGGGAACCCAGAGCCCACCTACCTCACCTCTCCTTGCCCCCATCTTCACCTTCAAAACAAACTCTGATAAAGAACTGACTCTGTTGGAACTACTTTCTGGAGCAACATGCATGGTGGCACCTTACCCACAGCTTGCCATCGTAGTAGTAGGCTCCTAGGAGCTTCACGATGTAGGGATGGTCACAGGTGGCCAGGATCTCGATCTCCACAATGTAATCCTCCAGCTCCTCCTCATTCTTGGTCTCAATCACTTTGGCCGCAGCCAAGGCACCTGTCTCCTTGTTCTTGGCCTGCAAAGCAGCAAGGGGGAGGTCAACATGGCATGCTTAGCAGGAAATTGACCCTTACAGGCCAGCTCAGAGGCCAGCACGAGATAAGGGGTGTGTGTGAAAATGGAGGCCAATGAGAAGCTGAACCAGGAGCTAGCTTCTGCAGTGTGGTGGTCATGTTCCATAGAGTCGGTTACGACTCATAGCAACTTTGTATAGGGTTTCCAAGGCTGTAAATCTTTATAGGAGGAGAAAGCCTCATTTTTCTCCTGCAGAGCAGTTGGTGGATTCGTACTGCTGACCTTGCTCAGTGCATGACCCACTACCCCACCAGAGCTCCTTTGTTGTGGTGTAGTGAATTATTTAATATGTTTCTTCTAGACTTAGTCTTTGTAACTCTCACCAAATGACTCTTTTCCTGATGGGTCTTGGTGAGAGAAGGTGGGAAGAAATACTGACAGGATGACAGGATTCAGCTGTGGATGTTAACAGAGTTCATCGTAACTATAGAAACTTGAAACTCTAGCGTGGGTATAAAATAAACCATCTCAGAAACAGGAGGGGGAATTTCACTGCATCCAAGAATAGTCAGGAGTGGAGTGCATCCTCTGGACCCCGAGATCCCTGCCTACGAAATCTCCTTGACCCAGGGACAGAACACTGTGACAAGAGAGGAGAGACAGAGGAACAGCAGCAGCTGAACCAAGAACAGAGCACCACACAGCACACTGGGTATCCCAGCCCACAGAACAAGTAAAGCTGCGTGACTTTGGGCAGGAGGCTTACTTGCACAGTTGGGTGCCTCCTGGCACTTAATTGGGGGGCAGCTATATTTGCTGACCACTGGACCAATAAATAACATTCTTATCATTGGAGCAAAGAGTGAAGTAGTCAAGGACTTCATTCTTCTTGGATAAACTATCAATACTCATGGAAGCAGCAGTCAAAAAAATCAAACGATGTATTGTATTAGGCAATAAAATAAAAATAAATAAATAAAATGAAATGAAACGAAATTTTAAAAGTGTTGAAGAGCAAAGATGTCAGCTTGATGACTAAGGTGCGCCTGATCCAAGCCATGGGTATTTTCAATAACCTCATATGCATGCAAAAGCTGGACAGTGAATACGGAAGACCACAGAAGAATTGATGCATTTTGAGTTATGGTGTTGGAGGAGAATACTGGAAGTACCATGGACTGCCAAAAGAACAAACAAATCTGTATTGGAAGCAGTGCAGCCAGAGTGCTCCTTGGAGGCCAGGATGGCCAAACTTCATCACTCATGCTTTGGACATATTATCAGGAGGGACCAGTCACTGGAGAAGGATGTTATGTTTGGTAAGGTGGAGGGTCAGGGTAAAAGAAGAAGACCCCCAGCGAGATGGATTGGCCAAGTGGCAGCTTCAACAGTCTCAGGTGTACCAATGATAGTGAGCTTGGCCCAGGACTGGGCAGTGTTTCGTTCTGTTGTGGATAGAGTTGCTATGAGTCAGTACCAACTCAACAGCACCTAACAACAACAACAACA